AGGGTGGTGAGGCACTGGAATAGGTTGCCCAGGGAGTTTGTGAATGCTCCATCCCTGGCAGTGTTCAAGGCCAGGTTGACGAAACCTTGGGTGAGATGGTCTTGTGTGAGGTGTCCCTACCCATGGCAGAGGGGTTGGAACTAGATGATCTTAAGGTCCGTTCCAACCCTAACTATTCTATGATTCTATGATTATGTGATATATTGAATACTTGGGTTTGTAGATATTTGGATATATTATTCCTCTCAAAATAACATATTTGTAACTCACAGATAACAGTGAGCTGATCACAAAGATAATAAAAAGGAACAAATATAGAAAAACAGGAATTGAAAGTTACAATTTTAAGTCCATAGTGAGAGACTGAAGTAAGAATGTAGAGTTAAAAAAGTGCCAAATATTGCAGTACTTTTTACTTCAGCATGAATTTAGTAGTTCTTAATATTTTAAAAACTGGCATTACATTAGATTTCTGAGAATAAACAAACTTCTAACATCTAGTTTTACCTAGTTAGTCCAAGTAATCTCAAATATACTTAGCTTTAAAAGTCTGTTAATCATTGATTTTAATTTGTAAAGTAATCATTTAAAATAGAGAAAACAATAAAGTTAAATTCATTTTGGCACATGCATGTAGTAAACAAAGAACTGAAAAAGTTACTTCCTAGAAGAGAATTCTGCAATTATAATATAGGTGTAAAAGACTTCCATGCCTATTCAGGTATCAGCACTAAAGGATTGACTAGACATGAGACATAAATATGGGGTGCATGTAAAAGTGAATCATACTTCCAGACTCCTTAAAGTCAAATGGAGCTAATATGTTGGAGTTTCTGTGAACACTGAATCTGTATGTAGAATTCTCCAGTGTCCCCCAGTATATATATATATATATATACACAAGTAAAATAGAATACATTTAAAGAGTAAAACTTAGGGAAAAAAAAAAAAAAAGACCAAAATGGCTGTAGTACTTATTACTGGAATACAGAGAATGCTGCATTATCTGACAATTAAGCTGAAACATCTGACCCACCTAGAAATATTAAAAAGGTTTAGGCAAAAGATTAAATAGTTTTAGTTCAGGAGCAATTAATTTCACTGGTTTCTACACTCTTCAATGGAAAACAAATGAGCCAAGTATAATTAAAAAAAAAAACAAAAACAAAACAAAACACAAAAAACCCTAAAAGATATTGAAAAGGAAAAAAAAAATTAAGAAATGTTCTTGAGATGAACTATGATATAGCAGTGTAAGAAGTCTAAATTTTTCCAAACCAAATTAAACTTGATGGTACAAAACACACACTAAAGAGCAGTCATATCCTAGTAAATATGTAAACAAATTTAAATGAAGAATTGTGTGTAGAGTTAGGAAGTTCACCAAAAGTATTCACGGTTAAGTCTACACTCTCCAAGTCATTGCTACCTCTTTCCTAACACGTTACATTGACATTATAATGTATGAAATTACAAATACTTAGAACTTATATAGCAGTGCTCTCTAACATTCAAAGCACTGCTCATGTGCTAATTACATTATATGAGCAAGTTTCTTCTCTGTAGTGTTTTTACAGGTGGAACGATGTTTGTTACTTTCACATAATTCTTGTATTTCTTCCTTTTCTTAAAACTGTAAGTACCACATGGAGTGATTGCCTAGCTGCCTTCACATAAACCACTTCAGGGCTATTTATTTAATCATGCTGAAAAAAGATAGTTTTGTAATTAAGGATAACAAAACAGATACAAAGACATGGCTACTTTGAAGACTTGATTGTAAAAGCCACAGTGAACTACGTGGAAGACATAAAAATGAACCAGTAAAAACCTCCCCTATATATAGCCTGTATTCCATAAAAACAAAACATTGCATTTTTCTGGAAATTTTCAGTGACATAAAAAAGTAGTTTCGTTTTGGAGGACAGTTTTGAATACTGTCTCCACAATTTCTTCTAGAATGTGAATCCAGAACCTTTTCAAGATCTGAAAACTGACAGAAATGTATCAGATGCTTTTAGGATGTAATAAAATACTGCTTGTATATTAACATTGACACAATAATAACTTCATTCAGCTGTGTTTTTTTGCATCTGAAGTTTTCAGAAATGTGTTATAATTCTAACACACCAATCTGTAAAGGAAATCTGTGAATTTCTTAAATACATTCAGATAAGCCACTTTAGGGATGCAGAAAGACCATTCTCTGTTAATCACATAATTCTTGATATTTACTTTTATGGTAAAGCTTCTACATTTTTGGAAACACCATCTGAGATGTTGTTGAAATGGAGTATAAATAGAGTATTATTTTCCAAAGTAATTTCTTTCATATTATAATATCCACATTTTTTCCACTTTCTTTTTTTTAATTTTTGCCCACGGCTAACTATGTTTTTCATTCTTAACGAAAGTTAGCAGCTGTATTTACATTCATATAATCTTTTTCACGCAATGACGTAGAAAAAGAGTAGAAATTGTATCAGATCCTTTTACAAGCAGTTGCAAAGTTATGTGTAAGGTCATTACAACTAAAGATAACTGTAAGTCATTACTCTGTGCTCACTATATTAATACACTGATACACTACACTGATTGCATATACAAATAGCAGTAACTTTGTAGAAACATATCTGAAATAAAACATGTTAAACTCTAACCTTCTAAAGATCAAGTAAGTCGAAACATCTGTCTTTCTGTGATAGAGCAATCAATTTTTTAAATACCTTGCCTGCACTAAGCAGAGCAATGCCCAGCCAGTCTCCAAGCAATGGCTACTTTTGAAGACCAAATCCCTGTTTTTCTTGCAGAGCATGATGGTTTATGAGACATAAGATCCCTTTTGGTCTATTTGGGTCTGCTGCCCTGACTGTGTCCTCTCCCAACCCCTTGCCCACTCTCACCCTACTCGCTGGGTGAGCAGTGTGACAAACAGAGAGGAATGCTCTGCAAGTACTGCTCAGCATCAGCCAAAACACTGACTGCTGTACTACACTGTACTACACTGTTTTATCACAAACCCAGTGCCATATGGGCTGCTGTGAAGAAAGTTACCTCCATGCCAGCCATGCCCAGGACATGCCCCACCAAGGAGCAGGGCAGCTATAGGGACTGAGGGCAGCTCTCTCTGGGCACCAGGAACCTCCCCATGGGCACGGATGGGCTGAGGGTGGGCCTGGATGTGGGCCCAGAATATTGGAGCCTGTGGCTGGGCATGACAGGACTGTGGAGAGCTGAAGACTGGTCCTGCTGCATTGCTGGGGCAGGGAGGGGCTGAAGTGGGTTCCTGGGTTGTGGGATGGGTTGGGGAGCCCCGTATAAAGGGGTCAGGGACAGAGGTCCTCCCAGGACACTGATAATCAGCTTTCTAGACCAGGTTTGAATTCTCCAGGTGGGTGGTTGTTGAAAACTGCCAATTTCCTGTTTTGTTTTGTTTTCCTATAAATAGAAAGAAAACTGTCAACAGGTTTTATGTTTTATAGGCTCTGCCACACTTACTGGTGTATCTGAGTACTGGGATGACATAAAACATTGACAGAAGCAGTCCCCTCTGTTCATTTTTTTTTGAAAAGCAACTGTTTTCACAAAAATATTGAGCAGAAATACAATAGAGTGTAGTAGATACTGACAAGTAATATAGTATGAATACTACCATTCATCCTCACTTGTCTGTTCTTAGTACAGTGCTGAATATGATGAATGAAGATGTTTATCCCAAATTAGTACTGTGTAGATGGGTAGTTTTAATTATACCAAAAATGTTTCTTTATTGTGTATTTTCAAAAAAAGGTCTGAAAAGAATTATTAAAATTTATAAAGGAAAAACATTCATGTGGTTTGTTATGTATTTGTTTAATTTTTTTTTATTGTTTTTGCATTTTAATTGGATTGAAATAATTAAATCAAAGCTTAGTTCCTTGACTTAACATATAAACAATTGTTAGAGGGGAAAAACTCCCTCCTTTTCCCAAATCTGTTGTCTCATTTTAAAAAGAATACTATTGGCTACCTACAAATGCTTGAATAGGAATCATTGGATTTAGAAATCAAATTTAAAGAAAAAGAAAATGTTACTGATTGGTTTTCATTTTGGTTCACAAAAAAGTATTGAGGAGTATGCACTTCCCAAAGGTATTGCTGATGGTGCACATGGAAAGGATCATATTCTTTTGAACAGCTCAAGATATGGAGACTGACCACCCTCTGAGCACAACTGGCAGGAAGTTGCATAATGGAAATGAGAACATTGTAATTCCACATTATTTTTTTTTATTATTATTTGTTTAAAGCAAAGGCTCCCTGGAAAAGAAAAAAAAAAAAGAACATAAGGATAAAGCAATATTATGTGGTAAGTATGGGTCACTTTTTCAGAGTTTGGAATTCTACAGATTATTTCTGTTTTATTCTTTTAAATTAATGTTTGTTAGGGTTTAGAGTTTTTTCTTTTTAGGTAAGTGTTAGTTAAGTCATCTGTTGTAAGACAGAATTCTCATTACTAGCTATGTAAATTATCAAAGCAAGATGATGTCATCTGTTCAAACTGTACACTTACGACTGGATTCTCTGAAACAGTTCAATCCCTTGCCTGTGCGCAAAATCCACAAGTATCTACTAATAGTTTGGATTGTGTACTTCATGATGGATCTTCTCTTTAAGAGAGTAACTACCAAATCATCACATCTATAAAATACCTTAGAATAAATAAATAAAGAAATATTGGGCCTAACGAACCAGAGAAAAATCTGAGCCTGACATCTGTTAAAAGTGAAACACTCCCTATTGGAAGTTCTTTGAACTATCCAGGTACAGTAGGGCTTTCATAGGACCTTGGACGAGGTTAAATATCTAAAGCTTATTGAAATACAGTGACATCTATGGTTTTAAGTTCTTCTGAAATCTCAGCTGACAACATCACTTTGTAAGGAAAAACAAATCCAGGCATAACAAACAAGTTTCCATTTATAATGAAACTGTCACAAAAATACAACTTTTTTTTTTACCGGTGGAGTGCTGAAAATATAGAAGGATGAACCCTTCAGTGCTAGAAACTTAAATTTGTAGAGTTGAGATGAATCAATTCCTTCAAGTCTCTCATTTACCCATCCCATATGTATGACCTGTAAAAGAAAATAATTGAAAATTAGAGCTCTATTTTTCGTTGGAGCATAAGATATATCTGAATAGGTCAATTCTTTCCACAAAGAAGAGTGGTCATATTACAAAAGGATGTATCATCCACTTCTCCACATTTGCCTTCCCACCACTTCTATAGTCTTGAAGTACATGGTAACACACCAATCTGTCAGAATTCCTTGAATAGACCTTACAAGTACAGGTTATCTGAATCTGGTCTGAAATAATTATCATTGTAAAAGCTACCTGTGTGTGTCTCAGCAGACTCCCACTTGAGCCAGCAAAACGGGTGCACTGAAATATTTCAGTCAGCAGTTTATAAAAAACATGTTCCTACATTATCTATAGCACAGTCAAAACTTGGATACATTGAAATTTCTTTTAGATGTACCTCTAAAGAAGTACATCTGAAGAAATAAACAGCTGGCTGTAGGCTCATGTTTGCCACTATGTGTTCTCATAGAATTAGAAGTCAAATTCAATTGTTACATAGTTTTTCTCTAACAGTATTACAATGCATGCCTTTATATTTCAGGTAAATTAAAGAAAAATAAAATAAAGAAATAAAACTGCATTCTTCCCCTCTGAGGTAAATCTGAAAAATAAAATAAAAATAATAATAAAAAAATAATATAATTGATGTTGTTACCCACCAAAAATAACAAACAAAAACATTTTAGGCTTCATTTTGCAAACATTAATACAAACATATTGCCCTTGAAACAGGTACTTGAATCTATATTGATACACCAATCTGAATATACAGCTACTGCTGTATATTGTTAAGCTTGCTTGTTTTCAATTAAGGCTACACTTATGGAAAATACTGACTTACACAGGAGAAGAAATGTCACAGCACTTATGAATATACTGAGCCCAGAGAGCTTTGGTGGAAGTCAGTAGAAACAGCCTGAAGAAGGTATTCATTAAAACGCATGAAAATATCAGCATTTGTCCTATGGATAAAATTGGGGAAAATGTGATGGTCTCAGGAATGTTTTTCTATTGAAAGCCCAGTGGGTATACCTGTTGTTATTTTAGCAACAGACCACAGAGATGGCAAGTATGGACTGGGGGCAGCTAATAGTATAGATGCATATAGATAAATAAGCATGACATACTCTTCTGTCACGAAAATCTCGCACGTTGTTTTCTAATTTTATTATTTAATGTATCTATTCTGTCTCCCACTAAGTAGTTTATCAAGAAATAAATAATTAATAATTAGCTAGTCATCCTCTATAGTCTTCTACTGAGATCTAGCATTAACATTTTAACTAGATCTAAGAAAAAGCATAATAAATACAGCAGTCCTTCCAGTTCTCAAATTGATATTCTCTAAATTTAATAACTCTCATTAAAACATTGTTTCTACAGTAAAGGTTTAGAAACAGGATGTTTAGATATTTCATTACTTTAACAAATATACTATAGTATTGATAATCTACTACAAACTGTATTCCATATTATCAGTGTGGTAATATAATACCAAATAATGCAGACAAAAACAATAATGTCCAAATCACAAGGCACAAACAGTACAATATTCTCCTCTACATTCCTAAAATCATGACTGCTGACTTGCAAACTGACACCATTTATTAACCTGCAACACCATTAAAATCTTTGCTAAAATCCTAGTTTACTGATTAAATTGATAAATAAATAAGCAAAGGATGTTCTTTATTCATCAACATTATCATCACCATTTATTCTTACAGCAGCACCCAACAAATAATTTTGGAATTATTCACCATGTCAAGTGGCAAAACTATGTCACAGATAAATGCTGCAGCTTGCCTAGGTTGTTAATCAAATATCATATACTAAAGCAAACATGACACATTATGAGAAATATAACTATATATATTGTTGAAAATCAAAGATGTTCATTTAATATACTGAAAGAAGGAAAACATAAAGTTCCTAGTTGATACTCAGAGCAGGATGGTACTAGAAAACTGGAATTCCAAAATACATGTGATTTCCTACGATTAACAGGAAAAACTTGTTTTATCTAGTTGACAGAATCTGTAGGTTGGAATTCATGTGAAGGCCCTGTCGTTGTATTCTTATCTATGGCTGCAAGATGTGATAGGAGTGCCAAATCTATAACATCAATTTAATGTAGCACTTAATCTTCTGAGTAATTTTCTTGAGTATGTATTTAGCTACAAACACAAGACTGCATTTTCTAATTAGCTGCAGACTTTGTTTTTGACATCTGTTCTAAGTGTTTTACTGAAATTGAGCTGTATCATTGCTGGTTTTATTGCAGCCATATCATACTGTGACCAGTCTACCTGTGTTCGATCAGAATCAAGAGACTTGGTTTTAAGTATGCCCTTCTCCACACAAAGAGTTTTTTATAGTTATTAACAGCCATAAACTCAATGTTAAGCTGCTCTGCATGCTGAAATCTCTTTCAATCTCAGACAAAAAAAAAACAAGGAATGACACAAAACCATATTCACTGAACTAGATTTTGGGGGAATGGTTTTTCTACTCACTGAATTATTAGAACATTGTGGTATCACTCTAAACATACATGGATTGTACTAAGGTCACCTATTCATTCTACTTCATTGAAGACTACACAAAACCAGACAGTAATACTTTAGTAACATTTTGAATACATTGATCTGAATATTACTCTGCTTGACTGAAATGACTAACAAAAAATCCAATTCCAGGAAAAAAAGAGCTTCAATCAGGAAAAAAAAAATAAATATTAAACTATCAAAGCAAAGAGAAAGCTTTAGAACCATTAAAAATATAAAAGGACCCTTTTTGTTTTTAAATCGATTATAGCTCCCAAGAGATATCAGAAACTGAGTAAAAGTCTTCCAATTTTTATTTTCTTTAAAACTATTACTTAGCTTTGTATTGTCAATATAATTTGTGGAACATGGAAACAATTACATACCTAACAGTAGAAATAAGAAAAATTGATCTGCTGATTTATATCTTAGAAACAAAAACTTACATGGAAAACTTACCTAGTACATTATAGCTCAATGTCATTGAAATCAAACAAAAACCCCAACAAAACAAAAGAAAACCCACCTCAAAACAGTAAAAAACTCTCCATAAGTCCCAAGGTTATGGTTTCTCTCATGGTTAGCACCATGAAACACCTAAGAAATGAATGTGCTAGTAAACAAAATGTTGCAGCATTTTATGTACTTCCTAAGGCACCTATAAAATGAATGTCTGCATCAACTTGTTTAATTTTTTATTTTTTTAATGAAGATGTAAAAAAATTCAGCAAGCAGCACATTTGTAGAGCACTTTGAGATTTGGAGAATATCTCTGCAGAGTAATGATTGAACTCTCAGCAGTTACATAAATTTAGAGAAATATAGTACAACTAGAAGACAGACAAGGTTTCTGTTTGTTCATTCGTTTTAGAATTTTTGTATATTGAGGAGAAAAGGAAGGGAAAGAATATGGAATATGATTGTTTCATCAGATATAAAAGACTGAATCTGATACTTTCTTGGGAAAGAAGCAATAGTCAGGCCAGGTAGCTGAAGAGGGATAGCTACTGGCAGATAAGTGATGAGCTCATTGGATGTAGAGCTGCATTACTGTCATTTGCATGGCTTGGGGATATCAGGATGACAAACTAAAAGGTAAGTTACTAATGAATACGAACGAGAGGGAGGAACAGACATTACAAAACATTTAGGAGGAGAAAGAAATCGATCCAGTAAGATAAAAAAAAAAAAAACCAGGAGAAAATGTGAAACTAAAATGAAAATAACAAAAGGAAGAGCAGTATACAACTATATAAAGAGGGGAGAATCAACGAAAAAATATTTGGGAGGGAAAAAAAGACCCACAGAAAAGAGGATTCTCAATGTATACTTGACTATAACGATATAAAGACCTTAAAAAAGTAAAGGGAAATGAAAGCACTTCCTTTATTAGAATCAGTGATTAACTTATGCAAATATTGAAAAAAGTAATAAAAGTATGCATCTTTTTATTGAGTTATCAGAAAAATCTAATATCTTTTTCACTTTCTTTCCATACATCTTTCTTATTGACTGGTTGTCCTTGGTTCAGCAGTAGCAGTCATTTTTCTCCTTCATGGTAGCTGGTTCACTGCTGTGTTTTGACTTCCAGCCTGGGAACAGTGCTGGTGATACCGATGTTTTTGGTTGTTGCTAAGTGATGTTTACCCTGACCAAGGACTTTATGAGGCTCATGCTCTGCCAGGGAGGAGGGGAAGCCGTGAGGAAGCAGAGACGGGACGCCCCACCCAAGCTAGCCAAAGAGGTATTCCATACCACAGCACATGCCCGGGGTGGGGGTTAACTGGGAGTTACCCGGAAGGACACGGGCTTCTGGGTTGGACTCGTTTCTTGGCGGGTGGTATTATATTCTCTTCCCTTGTTATTTTCTCTTATCATTGTTGTCGTTGGTGGTAGCAGTGGTGATTTGTATTGTACATTGGTTGCTGGACTGTTCTTGCCTCAACCCGTGGGAGTTGCACTCTTTCCATCCTCCTCCCCATCCCTCCAGGAACAGGGAAGGGGAGAGCCCGGGGTGGGGGGGGGGCTCGATTGCTGTCAGCCCAGCACCACTCACTGGGAGTGAGTGAACAAGTTACCTGACTGGGTTTAAACCACGACACTGGTTTACTTAATGACCATTTAGACCACAGAAATGCAGAAAGGCTAATTATTCAGTTCAACAAAAGTCTATATACAACACAAGCAACCGAGTGTTGGCAATTAATAACAAGTTGCTTGTGGTTCATAAGTAGGTTACTGAGATTTTAATTGTTTCGGTACATGGGTGTGAACATTAGTGCTGGGATAAAACCTGTTCTGTTATTTGGACTGAAACCTGCCATTTGAAATTTAAGGAGTGCTCAGAAGGCATAACACTACAGACTGTCCCATTCTTAGCACTGCCTTCACCACTTTATTCCTATAATACATAATCAATTTGACATTGTTTTTTGAAACTCTGT